TTAACTTGAATGGAGAAAAAACAAGATGGACGTTCCACAGTATTGTGATGGAAATGCTGACTATGCCAGTGCAGGAACATCAGAGTATTTCATTTTAACTTTTCTTGCTGGACATAGTTAACACCACTAAGGATAAAATTACTTTTTAATTTACAACTTATCTCTCTGCACTTTTTGTAGTGGTCAGAGTTCCCTATTATAATTCTTCCCTAAGGCTGTATCTTAAAGTTTCACTTCAGCTGCCATTTTAAATTAACTTTTAAGAGTGTGCAGAAAGGAAAACCTCTCTATTCCTCAGTGACTCTCAAAAAGCACAAGTTCCAGCAGGATTATGCATTAGAAAGAACCTTGAACTGTTTTTCTTAAAGCCCTGGTGCTTACTCAGTCAGTGTACATTTAACTCTGTTTGTATTTTGTTGACAGTCATTAAAATCCCAGGCGCATGTGCCCGTATGCATTTCCATTCATGGAGGGTTGTGAGGGCATAAGGAAGAGAAGAGTGAGAAAGAACAACCTATTGTGTGAATTGCTACTAGATGTCAGTGTGCATGAACGGTTGCTCACCTGGCATCTGGCTGTCCTTTTTTGTTTGCTGTTCTAGTTTGGCCATCCTACAATAATGTAGTCAGTGGAAAAGCAAAGTAGACTTTGAAGCATGAAAAAAGAGTATCAACCATTGTTCCCTGCTGCCAAAATACCAGTTTGCTGCCTTGCAGTATTGACTTTCTGGTCTAGTGATTGTGTCTTCATTAAATACTTAATTGCTATCATTTTAACATACAGTAGATACAGTGTAAGTGAAAACTATGCATAGTTGGAGAAGCAAGGCTGAGTAGTACAATGGAAATGCAGGTGGGTAGAGGATGAGAAATGGAGGAAAGAGAATGAAGAAGAAAAGAGGAAAGAACAGAGAAATTCAATGTAATTTGAAATTTGTCAAGATACTTAATGACTAATAAAATGAATTCCAGTTACATAAAATGTATATTCCTCTGATTTTTGTTTTTTGGGTTTTTTTTTTTTTGCTAGCCTTTATCTGACATCATTACAATTGTCTTGTCTCTTTCAAGGGGACAGTTCTGTACAAATCTGCATGAACGCTAGCATGGCCTGCAGGAACACACCTAGGATTCAAGCTTGAGTCCTTATTCTGCAGACTGATACGTACACACATATGCAAAACCTTCTGTTGGTCTCTCTGCCTGTTTTGTTTCTGTCTGCACGCTTTATGCAATATTGAGAACCTACAACAAAGGGATAGGGAAATGTGTAGATAATTTTTGTACTTCCGGTATCAAGAACCTGTGAAATAGATGTATTTTTAAACCAATGTTCTCTACACAGGGAATTCTCTTCTGCACAAAGCATCTGTAGCGCGTTTGTTCCTCTGTGTTACTCCCTGTGTCTTTTCGTTGCGGTTTGGTTTGGGTTTTTTTGGCTCTCCAGAAGCGTTATTGCCTTCTCACAGCTAGATAGTAATCCTCTTTTCCCCAAGAGGATCAGTAGGCTGGAATAGACTGGATGTGAGTTAATGCTGCCCTAGTCAGCATAAAGCTGGATTTCTCTTCTAAGACTTGCTTTGTGACTGCTTTTCTGTGTTTAGCCCGGAGTCCTGATGTCTTTGGCTCAAGTCTCCCTTTGATAGTGATTTGTTGCTTGCTTTGGTGATCCCTCTGCAGAAAGAGAGAATGCTTCAAAGATTTGACTTGAATCTTTTTCAGTCCTTAAGAGCAGAAAATCCTCTTACCATGGCTATTCCAAGTGTAATGGCAGTAAGGCTGATGGGGTCTGAAGGTAGCAGTTTTGTGCTCTATAATAGCCTCTACCATATAAAAGATGGAAAAAACTAAAAACTAAAAAGTTTGTGCAACAAATACTTAGTGTTATTAGATGACCCCTTTTTTTAATTCACAAACACTCTTGAACTGAACTGATGGCTGCCAAGTCATTGCAGGATAAATATTTCACTTGAGTTATTTTCTAATTCACTTAATTTTGATGTAATCTCCAAAACAAATTCAAATTAATTAATCTTCTCCTTCTATCACCCTGTAGATAGACAAGAAAAAAATACAATTAGAAAAGGAAAGAGAATGTAACTAAATCTATTCCAGTATTCTTCATTTCAAATAACTCTGCTCTTGCCCACTGTGAAGGTGAATTCTTTTTGCAATAAACAGTACAGTCCAACCCCAGGCCTGTTTCCCGTTCATCAGACATCACCTTAATGACGTCTGAGGTAATTTTATATTGAATTGCTTACTTACAAATTTTTCTCTGTGGCAGACAGTGGCTGATGTAGCAGGTCAGGACTTGTTTTCAGTGACACGTCACTGATGTGATGCAATGAGTCTCAGTCCCAACCAGTGTCGAGGGAATAGCTCCCACTACTTGAGGCTGACTGTGTCTATGCATGAATCAAGGGACGGTGTAGAGCTTGTCCTCCTAAGAAAACAGAGGTTTGCTTATTAAACGTCATCTGATGAAAAAATATAAAATGGATTTTTTAATTTCAGATTCATATGCTTATCACAGTTTCTTAAACATGTTGTGAGCTTGGAATTTGGGAGACAGTAGAAAGCCGTGCAATTTGCATGAAACTAAAATGGGATCTATCTGAGAAAATAATTAGCCTTGGAGGAGAGGTTTTCCTTTGCAGGATGTTTCTGGAAAGAAAAATAGAACTAATGGTTGAGTAGAGCCTCATGTTACAGGCTCTTGTCTGTGATTGTCTAGAAATTGAATTAACCTCTCTCTTGTGCATATCATTTAAAATGTAACTTAGGAAAACCTGCATAGAGGTTAGGACTCTGAAGGTCTAATAAGTAGAAATAGTAGCAGAGGTCCTCACACTGGGAGAAGGGAGGACTTGTGACAAGAGAGGAAAGGAGGGGAAGAGGGGGAAGAGAAATGTTAATTTTGGCAGTTGAGCTGACAGAATAGATTTGTCTCCAAGCCCAACAGTTGTAAAAGTAGACTAAAGGGGTCTACTGAGTAAACAAATGGAAGTTTGTTAGTTCCTTCCAAAAATGATACTTTGTGTGCACTATTTGGGCACAACAGAAGACAGAAAAGGAACTTGTTAGTCTTTTAATTACAGAAGACAATTATATATGGTTTTAATGCCACTATCAGCATTTTTTTGCCTTCAGGAATAAAAGATCTAGTGTTCATAAACAGAGGGCTTGTGCACAGTTCTGGGTGATACAAAGGGGAATTGTCATATGTGTAAATCTGTTTGATTTCTTACTCTGCGTTCTGAAATAAGCATGAAATCTCAAGCTTTAAAATGTAATATTTTCAGAAGAAATTTTTGTCACATATTTTTTGTTTCTCTTAGTTACATGTAGTTTACTAATGAGAAAAAAGAGCAATAAAAGTGAGGCAGTTAATTTCTAAAGACTGCTCACTGATTGTTATTGTGTGGTATCTGTCACCCTGTAGTGTTGCATGCTTTTCTTAAATTGGTAGGGAGGTTCTGTATCTCCTTGGGGTTACTTCATTTTTGAGGAGTGGAGGAAAGTGATCTGATAGGGAGGGGGGAAAAAAGTTTACTTCTGAAGTATTACTGGAAAGCAACTGCAAAAATTCTCTCATAAGCATGTACAAACTAAAGGAAAAATATAAAAAATTTTTTGGTGGTAGATTTTAAATCTTTAAAAATTATTTTTGAAAATACCATCATCTTTTAATTTGAATGGACTCTCCATAAATTTCTGTGGTTATATATTTATTAAAAAAAACCCAAAAAACTTACTATAAAGTAGCAAACTAAAAGAGTATAGGGGAAGGAGAATGAAAGATTGCTTTTGAAGCTTGCTGTCAAGAACTACTCATTTTGTCTTTATCCTCAGCACAGCAAGATTTGATTTTTGAGGTGTTGGAGGAAGAAGAGGGAAGGGAGATCAGAGAGAGCACATGGAAAAGCACAGATTATGATTATGGGGTGAGAGGAAGAGAAGGAGAAGTGATAAAGATCAGAGTGAGTTTGTGGGACTGCAGCTCAGAAGAACTTGGCAAAATTTGTTTTCAGGACATAGTGAAAATTTGAGAATGAAAGGAAGGCTATTCCCTAATGATTTTCCTTTAGTGAGTCACCAATCTACCAACCCTTGCGAAAATGCATAGCAGCCCCTGTAAAACAAGAATTCTTCCCTTCTCGTACTTGCTGGGCTGCTAGAGGTATGGATAAATCATGGAGTAGGCTATGAGAATAGGACTAGCTGATATGAGGGAATCAAACAGAAAAAAGATCAAGCTGGTACCTTCATGGAAGCAATGCTGACTGAGAACATGGACTGGCTTTTCAGGCAGCCAGCACTGGAAAACGCGTGATTGACCTGATGTAAACAAGAGGCTGTGCTTTTAGCTGGTAATAAGTCAACCCAGATAATTGTCTGGTCTTAGGTACAGGCAAAACAGCCCTTTTTTGGGGGCATACCTTTTGGGTAGTGGAACATGTATTACATATGTATATAAAATTTCAGGGCTAGAAAACCAGTTTATGTTCCTGATCTGAGGCAGGAGTAAACCTATTTAATGTTTAGCAGTATGGAAGCATCTCTGTACCATGAGATTATATTAGGTTGACTGGGCATGATAGACAAAAATCAAAATCCTGCGTGGAAAATCAATGAGTATTAGGAAGAAGGGGGTAGCACGTTAAATTAAAATTATTTAGACTGTGGTCAAAGCAAGACAGTACATAAGATATGCAGAAAGCATTAATTCTACCAAAACAGGACAGGGAATAGCTTTAAATTGTAGGTGTGTACAATTTTCTTAGCATTCAGAAATGTGTCATTACCTTTTAAACAAAACTTATTCCAGCAAGTTATTTCTTTGCGAATGCCATTAAACACTTCAAAGCACCTTGAGCTGATTTCAGTAGCAATTTAGATTTTTTCAGTAGAGTGTAATGTCTTCTTGTGTGCAATGAGCCTGAACGAATCTTTTATGTTCTTTTTTTCTTTGTCTATCTAAATGTGTGTGGGCTGCAGATGGTTCTGTGAAGGAAAAGAACTCCAGAATACGCCTGACATTCAGATCCGTTCTGGAAGTGGAGGACTTCATTCACTAATTATAGCAGAAGCCTTTGAAGACGATACTGGGCGCTATACTTGTCTGGCTTCAAATTCCATTGGTTCAGATAGTACATCAGCTGAAATATTCATTGAAGGTAAGAGACGAAATAATAAGATACTTCATACATACAGGAAAACATAACTAAGCTGAAGTTCACTTTTGGTTCTGTATATTAAGATTATATTTGCTCTGGTGGTGTTTTTATGGTATTCCTCTACTTCTCTTTAATGCAACACATTTTGAATATCATGATTCGGGTATTTCAAGGAATGTTCCAAGAATCAGTGGGTACATTGGTATTTCTTTAGTAAGATAAAGAATGGAAAAGGAGGAACAAGCAGAACTTTTGGCATATGGTTAGCTTTTAATTAGTACCCTCCGTAAATCAGAGATTTTACTGCTAATACCAATAATGATTTTCATGATCGCAGTAATCCCAGTCTCAGTTCTGAACTTCATTCCGGTGCAATTAAATGTGGCTGCCCCAAATGAGTCTTCTCCAGTCATGGGTAAATGTATTATAATTTTTCATATTTGGTACACGGACTTTAAGGAAGGTTAAAAGTCAGTTGTACTGGTTTTGTCCAGAATCAGCTACTAGTAATTGTTAAAATATTTCTTCAACTCAAAATTAGTCATAATTAAAGTATTATTTTCTCTGAGGAATCTCAATACCTTGACCATGAGTAAAATTATGAAATCAATTTTTTAGTGGAGGACTGTATTTTAGGCATGATTGTATTAATTGAATACTCATTTTTTTCTTTTAATTCATGCGTCTTTCAAACATTTTGGTAATATGTATTCTTTTATCAGTTTTGTAACTCATTAAAATGAATTTAAATGGTTAATTAAAAACATAAAACAAATTAATATAATAAATACTAAAACCAAATCTGAATAATACCATATGAAAATTATTAAATAGCTTTTGATTAAGAAAGCAATAAACCTTTCACTATAAATTAGCTGAATCATGACAGATGTGCATTTATATGCTTTTTTTCATTATATTTTTTATTCTCAGAACTTTGTTATCCCACATTGGGATATAATAGAAAAATCCACAAGACTTTTCTGAATCTTATGTATTCTAGTAAGACTTTCTTCACTCTTCAGAAGTAAGCATGATTTCAGAAATACTCAGCTATAGTACAAATAGATAATACTGTGTGAAGTTATAATCACAGAAGCAACACTAAAAAAGAAGCAGCTAGGTAGATAGATACAGTGAATAAAACAATTCCTTTTTTGACATCTGGCAAAATCTTACTATGTGCAAGTGCTACCTTGAAGTTTTACAACATGTTAAGTTTGAAAGAGAGAGAATTGTACAAATTGTTAGGCTCCTCCCCTATCATCTTTAAGGAACCCAGATGGTCACGCAAGCATTGCTTTGTATATTAACAGTCTTGATGACAGTGATGCCTCATGCTTTCCTCTGTGCAGCAGGCCCAGCTCAAGAGAATTATCCTTTGCTCAAGAGAAATGCTTTCATGCAGATGCACTTTGCTCACTTGATACTGCTTCTCTCTTCTTACCTTTTCTGTGTTACTTGTTGCTTTGATTTTTTGTAGTCTAAACTGTGTAAATAAACAGGGTACTCAGGTGCCTCAGTCCAGGCTTTGTTTCATTGGAATCAGTCTACGCTATACTATGCGTATTGGTTATGAATTGCTTATGATTTGTATGGCAAATACAGCTCTGCATATGTATGCACAAATCCTTTGAGGAATAAGGAATACTGCATAAATGGCTAGAATAAATGTTGTGTGAAGTACCAGTTGTTAGGAAAAATTAAGGCAAAGGGAATAAATGCTTTTGTGGGTTTTTTTTTCTTTAAGTGAGTTCAGGGTATTGCAAAACACATACATTATATCAAGACTTCCACTGGCAAGAAATACCAGTATATAAATGTTATGTATAGGTTAATGTAAATAGTCTGAACTGTGGAGATTGTGGGTAGCAAGTTTATTCTGAAAATGTCTTGCTATATTGACTTGCTCTTATTTAAGGTTGGAGATTTGTTATCTGTGTATAAGCCATATGTTTGCTTAAGTATTAAGTTTTAATGTTCAGGTAAATAAAATTACACACTTCCAGTAGAGTAGTAGTCAGCAATTTTTTTTCTGTTTTGGCCATATTTGCTTCCATATGAAGGAAGACAGCTAAGAGCCTTGGGAAAAGAGTTTGCAATTAAATTGGCATGGTTATGATTTCTGCAACTGTCTAAAGTACATAGTTACACTCTTCTATCACATAAGATTACTACAGAGTGTTCTCAACTCTTGAAATGAAATGCAAAAGTTGCACAGTTTTTTCTTTGGAATGTAAACATGAAATAAACCTGTAAAAGAATATGAGATTATTGAAAATACTTTCTTTTCCAGGTGCCAGTTCCACAGATTCAGAGAGTGAAAGTTTAATTTTCAAATCAAAATCTGGAGCTATGCCACAGTAAGTGTGCAAAGTAGAACCAGCACTGTGCAAATGTTCTTAGTAAGGGGACTGGAAAATCTTTGGTAGTTTCAGATCTGCATAAACATCTGGGATGTAACTGTGTATGTCTTGCCTTCTCTTTTCTCCTCCCATGTGATATAAATATGTAGTATTATAACTGTAAATTGTATTAATGTGCCTTTTCTGTCAGAGGAGTCTGGCCTTACCCTGAACATTCTTTTTGTTGATCTCAATTTCTCATATTCGGGAGCAACTTTAAGTTAACAAAGTCTTCATTTGTAATCCACCCAGCCCTGTGCTTCCAACAAAACATGAAGAGGCCTGCAATTAAAGAAACCAAGTACATTCTAGTGTATCTTAAATCAGTACTTTTTATTGTGTGTGAAAGTGTAAATTAACCAAAGATTCTGTTCTGCTAAAGCTTGCGCCAATGTTGATCTTTTCAGCTGGTAATGACATATTTAAAGATGGAGAAAATACAAACTAACATACTCTGATTTCAGATCTTATAAAGTGCTTGCCATTTTCTATTTTTTTTCAGGGCCCAAAAGAAAACCACCTCTGTTTCCTTGACAATAGGATCTTCTACACCAAAGTCTGGAGTCACCACAGCTGTAATTCAACCTATCTCTGTGCCCAGTCAGCAGGTATTTTTAGACACCAATTTTTAAATTAGTAAAAGTATTTTAAATTTTATTTCAAAATTTCTAAATCCTGAAAAACTCTGGCATTTTGAGGAATTATATTATTGAACTATAAACTTACATTAATTATATCAAGAATGACAATTTAAAAAAATTAAGTATATATTTAGTGAATGGGACATAAAAGTAAATATACATACGGATTCTTACACAGTGTGTATCAACACAGCATGTGAGCAACTGACAGATCTGGTGATGATGAAAATTACAGAGTATATCACTTAATAGTAACTTGGTCCAATTACAAAAGAATGTAATAGGAATGAATGCCTACAATAATTTTTAGCAAAAGTTTTAAATTTTGTTACTAAATATTGATGTAATTTCTCTGCGCCTTTTGGAGAAAATTAAATTTTACTGTCTAGAAGTTAAATGTAGAAGGTTAATGTTCATTAGCCTATACTAAGTTTTAATGCCACTCTGGATCACTTAGAGTTTGCATATAAATCATAAAATACAAGTAAAATAAAAATCTCTATTAGGCTGTATATGGTATATTCTTTTCCATTCCTTTGGCTAATCTTGATAAGCTTTTAGGTACCTGGATTTATTGATCACTACATCAGTCAAGAGGTGTAGTAAACAGGAGAGGCAAAAATGCTTTAGTGCAAAGGACTTACTTGAATGATATTAGCAAGAGTCAAACTCTCAAAATACTTCAAGGTAAGGCAGTTGGATACAAAATTCTCATGGGAAGTATAGAAGCCTTTAAAGCTTCCATTTTGATTTCAGAAATCTAACAGATGTGGAATGGTGATATGACTCAAGAAGCATGCTAGAAGGAGAATACCATAATAAGACTGCATTTACGAGTTTGCAGTATTGGATAGATCTATGCATGCCATATTATTGAAACCAGTATTCTTTCCATTTTATAGCATTGTTGTGTTGCTTTGCAGGTTCAAAGCCCTACTTCATACCTGCACCGTGTGGATGGACCTAAGCCTATCTATTCTGCACCCATTTTTACAAAGGTATGTTTTATCCATCATGATTTTTATAATCATACTCTAGTATTCCAGCAGGAAATATCAAAATTATATATCCTAATGCAGGAATGTTTGATCATGTTAAAACTTTATAAAAGTTTTCATTATCCTCTTAAGTATTAATGACTTTCTTAGAAAACACTTTTCCACTGCATCAGTGAAGTTCTTATGTCTCCACCCTATTAAAATCACAAGGGGAATTACATAAATATTTGTATGTGTTTGTCTTATGCTCATGACTGTTCCTCCACTGAGAAATCTTTGTAAGATGAAACAAAGTAGGCACCAATTACACATCATAGTCATGATAAAGTCTCATTCACAATAATTTATCTGTTGATAAGAACAAATGACACAGGCTTTTTTACTTTGTTTTAGAAAAAAAAATCCATGCAGGTATGTTAGTTAAAATGCAGTTCAGGTATTCTTCATTAAGATGTCTAGTAAAATGTAAGGCATGGACTTGCTGGAAGGGAAACATTTATTCAGTAATTCTTAAGTAATTATTTAAGGCAATATTTATCTTCACATTCATCCCAAATGAAACTTTAGAATTGGAATCGGGTAACAGCAAAAAGGAGGACAGCACATTTCCCTAGTATCTAAAATAAAACTTTAATTGAAAATAGGATTTTCATTTGGCCTTGAAACCATCATTTCTATATAAGTAACTATTGTTTAGTCACCATTTGTTAAGTCAAAATGAAGAAAAGAAGGTGTTTCTGGTTATTACTCCAGAAAAACAGTTGACTAAAACATAATATAGAACAGCAAGTAGTTTTGCATAGAGATAAGTAAGAATAAGCCCTGTTCTCCACAGCTGTCTGGCCTGGCTCCATCTATCCCTTTCTCAAGTCAGGAAAGGTCTGATTCTATCCCTCGTAATTCTGCACTGATACTGCAGGTATCACAGGAGAGCAAATAGTGGAGGGGCAAGGGGTTAGAGAATGTGGTTACTGCAAGGCAGAGAGGCAGGCAACTTACTAGTAAGAGTGGGAAATAGGAGAAATCCAGCCCTCATTCAGAAACTACCAAAGCAATCAAAACTCTACTGTTCCTTCCGAATCCTCATGTCCCTGAAATCCAATATTAACTGGCTTAGGTCAGTTGAGACATACCAAACCAAAACAACTTTAATCACAGAAGAAATGAACCAGATATGAACAACAAAAAATATACTTACTCAGCATCTTGATGCAAGTTTCCTTCTATACAAACGTCAGGGAACAACCCAAAGATTTTTAGGCTTCCATGCAACAAAATTCTTAAGAATCTGATTAACTAGAGATCTGTGAATAGCAACTAAGGATAACTCTGATCTTAGACTTACCTTCAAGTGCTTTGCTGCATCAAGGCCTAAAATTTTATTAATAAACTGGAAAGGGAATGAGACAGCCACTACAGTTAAAAAGACTCTTTGATGTATAATCTTAAGATGGATAACAAAGGCATAATTAGTGGCTGCCTCCTGTCAATTCTGTTACTTAAAATACTGTGCTTCTCCTTTCTCTCTGTAGTTCTTCATCAAAGGTTTAGACTCTTCCTGATTTTTTTTTCAGATGTATGTAAGAATTTATTACAGCCATAATACTGTCTCAGAAGCTATCCATACACAAGCTAATATATCCTAATCATATTTGTCATCTAAGTTTGCCTGGTTGCTTAGAAATGGCTCAGAAGAAAAGCAATTCCACATTCTAGAGGCTGACATGAAAGCAGCACACCTACTTCTTCAAGACCAAGTCAATCAGTGTGTAGCTAGTTGCAGAATTTTAATTTCACTTTATGGAAGAAGGATGAAAAATGAAAGGTCAGACTGCAACTATCTGCTTGTGATGGTCTGAGGAATTAAATGCTTCTACACCTTTTCCATCTTTGGTCCTGTTAAGAATCCATTTGAAAATAACCTATTCAGTCATTTTAACTATATAGCTGATAGATTAAATTTAATCAGAGTGAAAATACAGCTCACAGAAAATGTCTATTGAAAAAATGTAATGACACAATAAAATCAGGTTGAAATACAAAGGGAAGAAAAAACTATTTTTAAGAATGTAAAATGCTCCTGGTTCATTTGAACTGTGATTGTTTTATTTCAGGAGCTACAAAACTCCACAGCATCTGAGGGACAAGTCGTGGTATTGGAATGCAGGGTCAGAGGACCTCCTCCCATTCACGTTAAGTGGTTTCGACAGGGCGTTGAAATTCAAGATTCTCCAGACTTCAGAATTCTCCAAAAAAGTAAGGCAATAATCTGAAGTGGCTACTTTTGATATAGGGTAAGGAAAGATCATGAAATTAGTCTGTCAAATCCTCAATGAAGATTGAGTTTTGGATAGAGTCCTCCCTTCCTCACATTTCAGTGATTACAATGCCTAGAAGTAATAGTTGAACTACTGCTATCAACAGACAATTTAAGTCTTCCTTATTTTGTAATGTGTCTGCACAGATTCTGTACTTGTCTACAGTATTATTGTTCATCCAATATACTGTTGTTTATTAATGTCATCTCTAATACCGTTTTTCTTGTTTGTTTCCTCTCCTTATGATGTGATATGCAGAGCCACGATCTGCAACTGAACCTGGTAAGAATCATATGAAAAACTAATCTCTTGATTCACTAGCTCTTTGAGTTTGTACTGAAGCCATAAATAGAAAAGTGTTTCTGCTGAGCCCTGGTAATGCGAAACCCCCTTAAAGACAATGTTTCTTTATCACACCTTCCATATGCTACCACTGTCCTTTACATCAGTCCCTTTATTAGTTAAACAGTAACTGCCATTTAGACCAACAAGGAGTGTCTCACAGCTTAAACTTTGAAGCAAACTTCATTCTCAGAAAATGAGCAATTTGCATGCTGCTGAGTAAAAAGAACAAATCCCACAAAATTCCATTACCCAGATTGTACTCATAAGAGTTTCATAACACCCAACCACTAAATGCTAGTTTTGCCAGTCTAGCTTGGCAGATGTGAAATGTCTTAAATGCAAGTAAAAGCTGATCCTCAAAAAGAAGGGCACTTCAAATTTTTCCAGCCTATTCGCAAGGTAGAAGTCCTAGATTTCAAGAAGCAACAAGTGTTGTTCCAGCTACAGGTTTTCTGTGGCTGCTCCATTTTCCCATTATACATCATTATATGCTGTGGTAGTTTCTTGAATAGCAAGTGGGTGCTAAAAGACTGAGAATGTTTGTTCTTTTCTTTAATGTTTTAAGTCAAACAACATGTAGAAGAGAAGACAATGATACGGTCTGAGCCTTGCTTTTAAGAGGGTGGCTAGTTGTGCTTGAATATGTTTGAATTTGGAGAGAGTTTTAATTATGGAATGGAAAGACAAAACAGAAAAGTTTTCTGTCTAAGACTTGGGTATCCCCAAAGAGTGTCTCTGAACTGAAGGACCTTAGCAAGGGGTGTGTGTGTGTGTGTTTTAAACTTTGAGGAGTTGCATTGACAGTCTTTGCAGAGAACAGACTTGGCAGCTGAGTGATGTTTGTAAAGTAGCAGTGTGGCTACGAGGGTATGGATTAGGCAAAAGCAGTGAAGGAGAAATTTCCTAGGAGAAATGCAGTTTTCTCTTAGTTTTCATGGAAAGAAGAGGAGGTGAAGAGGGAAAAAGCTACTGCTTTTCTTTGTCAGTTACTCACTAATTTTCTTACTGCTTCATAAAATTCTTATATAGCTATTTCACTTCGTGACCATCATACATATACATACATACACACACACACACACACACGCACACGCTCTATCCTGACAGTTAATGTTATTGTGTTGTGCAGCTCATCACCTCCAGTAACAGCTGATGCACAGAATACATGTGACTAAATGATTTGATTTATGGAGGCTTAAAATGTGAGCCCTGTGAAGGAAAGAGTAGTGCTGGAAAACCAAATTAACCTCTAATGAGCAATTACAACATGTCTGAGTTCTAACAATGGGCTATTGGTAGTTTATAGTCATAACCCAAACTTTAAGGTTTAAAAATTGTAAGTTACTGTTACAGAACAGTTTGAGGAAAGTTTCAGTATCGATCAAGCCTTTGGTAATGAAAAGAAATAAAAGAGAATAGGTTTGTGTTGAAATATGCTCAATTCTGTATCTTTCTGGGAACATTCTCCTGCAATATATACTACAAAATAAGTCTCCCAACTTAGCTGTTTTCTTGGCATCTTTAAAAAAAAAACACAACAAAAAAAAAGCAAATCAACAGGTTGACTTTTTCCCTTTCTCAGAGAAATTATTTCCTGTGCAAGTAGTAACATGTTTTCTAGATTTAATCTGCCAAATGCTATGAGAATAGTATCTAGTATATCTAGCTGTTACCAGGAGCTTCTTTTCTACAAAATCACTTGAACTGCATTTACTCTCTCCTTTAACATCATGGAAAGTGTCTGAAAGGACTGAAACTTTACACAAAAGTTTCTATGAAGTCAAAATTTACTACCACATCTTAGGGTTTTTCTTTTTAATATCTAATTTGAAACTGTTCTGTCAAAACTCAGAAGCACTTGTTTGCTTGAGACAAAAGGTTCAAATTCCATTGTGGGAATAGTTGAGTGCAAAGAAAATCGTCTATTATGCCTCTTGCTAGAAGATTTTCTTTTTTCATGGACAACTAAGTAACTTTCAGTATCGTTAGTTGCAAGGTTCATATAGGCTATCTGACAAATATTACTGTGGAATAAGTAACGATATTCATGATAGTTCACAAAGCTAACCATTTTCTTCCATAACTACTATCTGAAATGGGAAATAGAAGATGGGATTTTGAGTCCAAAATGAACATCACTTTGCCAGCCCTCTTACATACATGCATTGTCATGTTGATGGTGCTGAATGCTCTCATTCCCATGTCTGGTTAGCTTGCAGACCCTGGGAGGAGGTACCTGAAGCCTTCTAAAGAGTACTAGGGAATGGATGCTTATATGAAAGGTGCATTTCTTGAGTTTTCACAGGTAGAGAGAAGTTTCTTAATATCAGGATATCTCATACCCCTCTCAAGGTAGGTGGCAAGGCAAGAGTAGGAAGGCATCTCAAAATACTATTTTGGTATCTATATTGTTGCGATTTAATGGACGTAACAGTAGTGAATGCCTGACAGCAGTCTATCTTTTTTCTTTTTTTTCATTCTTGTAATTCTGTTGTAATATATATTTATAAGCATCTTTTTGCTACCCTGAATTCATTGAGCTGGGTACTATCCCTGTAAGATTTGTGCATGTATCAGTTCCTCCTAAACCCTATTAAATAATGTGCAGTGTCTTATGCTCCACTAAAATTAATGACAGTACACTTACTGGCTTATTTGTGTAGGAATTGACTCTGGAATTTTACATAAATTGTAACAAGTTGCAGTGTGACTTTAATTGCTGGTTGTCAACCAAAGTCTAGCGGTCAATAACACTTTATAGTGCTCAAAAACATTGGTTATCTTTTGCTAGGTCAGTACTAATGATTTAAAAGAAAAATGTTCCATGAACTCACACAGGTAAGAAATTAAGAAGCAAGGAGGGTTTTTGGCTATTTTTTGGGGGGTACATTCTATCTACCCTAATGTGTTTTGCACTCCTTTTTCTGTCTAGACAGAAATGAGGTTGCATCACAAATCTCTCCAGACTGCTTTGTGAATTAATAGCTAGTCAGATTACTTAAAGCCAACATCACAGTTTGTCAAATTACCTGCTCTGTACTTCTTTCTTGGACGTTTTGACTTTATACTGATTGAACCCTTCAAAGAACAGGCTGCCTGAGAATGAAAAATCCCATGGAGTTATTTGCCAGCTGTTGATATTTTGACCATTACTCAGCTGTCTGGAGGCAGCCACAAACTGTATTGAATTACATTTAAACAATTGTCTAACGGCATGTAAGAAGAAAGCTGTATGAAGTAATTTTTCTTAAATTGCCAGGGAATTGCCACATGTACATGCCTCTTTTTTCCTAAGGACAGTGCAGTGTATGTTCACAAAAAACATCTCAAAAGATAGTCATCACTTCTCTTGGATTGTGTGTTCTTGTTCCCTATTTGGCTGCTGTATTCCAGAGTTTCAACTCTAGTAAGTAAATCCCTTAGAAATGCCCCTCCCCCTCCAATTTTTGCATAATGTTTGCAAATTAAAATATTTGGCAAATGTTACAGAAATCTTTGCTGCCTCCCCACACCAAGAAAGTCACCTTTCTGATAGCTGATGAAATTCAAAACAGAGAAACTTCAGTAGGTCAGCATGCATGTTGGATCCTGGCATTTTTTTTAGTGAAAACAAAAGAATTATGACTAAGAGTCTGGCTGCCTCTTTTCACTCCTGAGCAGCAAAGGGCTTGAAGAGAGCAATCTCCAATGAGCTATAGCTCAAGATGCCAAATGAAGAGAAAAACTGAATATAAGTTAAAATTATCCTTCATTAAAGGTGGTCTGATCAACATACGCACTATTGCATGCCAGTTACATTTTCAGTTGTACTCTGTGCTCCCAAGGCGCCTACAGAATTCTTGTCCTGACAGCGACCCCATCTTAAGTCTAACTGCTGTGATGGTCCTTGCTTGTTGATGCTTCCAAATTCAAAGTAAAACCTCTACAAATCTTTTTTGTACTGTGTGATTTTAAAAAACATAAAATACTGCTATTCCTCTTGAATCATAAATTTAAAGCTTATTGGAGTAGATTAATCATCACAGTTACATTGCTGAATATGTTGATTTCAGCTTCGACGATAACACCTGACAACTTCAAACTAGCTGTCTTAGGCATCCACAGCATCATAACTGCCATAGTGTAAGCTTTAGCATAAACTTTTCCTTGACCTTGATAAATGGCTTAATTTCTCCTTAAGCCTGAACACTGCTTTAGGGACTAAAGTCCATGCTGCCATAGCAGTATTCCTATTTATTGTACCTGAACTGGCAAGATAGCAGCTGTCTTGAGTATTGATTACATATGCTATAACCTAGGTTCTGTAGCCTAAAACTGCATTATATTGCCCACAATCACATTTGCTGTTGTCCAGTTTTCTTCTCAGTATTTTAAGATATCTTCAAACATAGTCAGTTCTGTATATCTTTTAAAAACTTCTCTCTTCATTTAAGTGTCATAAAGCCTATTAAATAAGCCAGAACTGCTGCCTGAGTGGGTAAAGGTGTATACAATAGTGATCATCAGAAACAGGTAAATTAAATACTTTTTTCCTTGCGCTATTGCAAGTTAAGGCATCTACAGGTCTGCAATACTACAATCTGTTATGCTGCTCTGCATATTCAGTTCTTCCCTATTTTCACACTTCATGTAAAAGATTCACAGATACCTACATGAGAGGAAGTTACCTGATGGGCATATTGCTTTGTCGTTAAACCATAGTTAAACATCTGATCTCTAGGGGAACAAGAGGGAGAATTCCGAGACAAGTTGTCTGCAAGATGGCAGGGTTGTGTTTGGTTGGATTTTTACCAGGAACACACCACTCTGCCCACTGTCTTTGTGTAGCAGAAAACTTTTGGCTTTGAACCTACATCTATAGAAATAGCTCTGTTCATTGCATCATAATGAACAACTACCAAAAAAAAGACTGTACTTACTTCCCAGGACTGCATGTACATTACAGTGGAAGAAGGTAATGATCACATTTGGAGATGAAGGTGCAGATATAAGAACTACTCAACCTTTAATATAATACATAGAAACATTCTGAAGTAAACACATTGCCAGTGATTAAATTTGTTAAAATGCAACAGTTTTCTGTCTTACCAAAGATTATTCTTCCTAATGGACTCATGAACCATAAAGGGAAAGGATTACTCTGTAAAATGTAATCTTTCTTTCTAAATAACTGACAAAATAGTCAAGTACTTGCATGCCTAAGCATTTTACATGTTCCAGTGAACAGAATGCTTTTGTATTCATTTAGTCAAGTGTTAAATATGTTTTAAGGCCCTGAGAACAGCATTTCAGAGCTGCTTTCTGGAATGCATTTTTGTGATGAAATTATTTGTCAGCTGATGATTGCCGGGAAGTAGAACAGACGTTACTTACTTCAGATCATCAGATTCTACTTAGCACAGTAACAGAAAGAAAAGTAATTACGTAAGTCAGGATGTAAAGCTAGAAAAATACTTGGAGCACTATGCATCCAGAGTGTGTTACGAAAATCTTTAAAGAACATTTCTTTTGTCAAGTTAGTATTTTATTTCTATGTTTTCCATTGTAGTAAGCCTTTTAGCAAGGACCTGGAAATCAGTGATTCTTGGTTGTGGGGAGCAAAATGAATGAAGACAATGGCAATGTGTTGCTCACACATGATTTTTGCCCAAGCTGACTTTTGATTAGTTCTTAGGTTTGTTTTATGTTTTCAGTTTAGCCAGTTTTCTCATAATTGATCACAAATGTGTTGTAGTTTGCTCATCCAGCTGAGAAGACTGAGTTTTAAACTCTTATTATTTTATCACTAACTTACTTTCAATTTCTTTTACAATAATTACTGCAATTTACCATGTATAATTTTCAAATATTTGCTTCAGTAAACAAACCACATCATGGTGGAATCCATTACAATTCTTTTATCACTGAACAGTGAAGAGCAGCTCTTCTCATGTGATCATTTTACATGCTTAAAAAAATGGAAGAACATTATGCGTTAATTAGCTCTGCTGTTTAGAAAATAGGAATCCTGCTGGTTGTTATATTTTGTAGTACCTTTGCCCTCATTCAAACAGCAGTTCTCAGCATGGTGGGAGTGATTTTCTTTGGCAGTCCTGAAATACCCAGCTTTCATAATTCTGCTGTTAAATGAACAGGAAACTAGTATGCTGCATGTATCGGATTGCATCCCCAGAGTCAGTTCAGTCCAGGAGTATGCACGTGTGCCTAACAATATAGCTTCAACTGCTTACAACACACCAACACTCTAAAAAAAGCTGATCTCAGTAGTTCAAAAACTAGCTTGTGTTACCCATTGCTTTCCTGATAAGACCCTTCATGAGTCATTAATCTTCATCTTGGTCAGATAAGATCCAACGTGCTACAGTATTACCAGACATGCCTTTTGCAGCTACACAGAATGACTGGTTTGTGTTGCCAAAAAAAAAAAAGCATGTTCTGCTGTCTGAAAAACAACTCTGTGCCAAATATTCAGTCAGTCATTCATTTGTAGCCCATTTACAGTACAGGAGGGTTTTGGATACTTTGTCCTTTATAATTGGAAAAATTCCATAATCTTTTTTTTTTGTTAACTGTCTAAATGAGAGAGTGGTCCACCATTCCACAACGAAAATTAGGAAAGAAAAAAAAAAAAACAAACCCAAAAAAGAACTGTTAGAAATTGTTTTCCTTCTTTGAACTAAAATAAGTAAAGCTTACCTTACTGAACCTCTTCTACAGAATAATTTACTTGTGAAAGTTATTGGAGTCTGAAATATTTTTTCTCACTTTTCAGTTTGTTTTTATTAGCTATATGCCATTGATTTTGTGATAATATGTGGGATTCCATGTAAATGCCCAAAATGTGCAATGCCCCCCCCCCCCTTTTTTTTTGTTAATGAAACTGAATTCTGTAAAACTTCCTCCTTTGGTTTTGAGACTAGAAAATGAGCATAATTAATTAAGGAAACCCACAATATAATATTGTCCAGATCTTAAATTATAGAGGTATTATCAAGGTATGTTATATAAATACTAGGATTATTTAGATTAGCTATGCTGTGAATTTTTTAAAAGATTAAATACCATTACAAGTAGAAAATAAGTGACTTCTTTTGAAGAAGATAATTAAATGTGCCCATTATAAATGAATGGAATTGATTTAGAAAACATTACTGTAAGACTGAAGCTGAAATATGAACAGTGCAGCCTTCATACAAGTTTTCTGACTTGAGGCCCTGGTATAATCAAAGCATATACTATGGCATATCAAAGCAGAATGAGCAGATTTCAAACAGCACAGAATACGTCTGTGTCACAGCATTCTGAAGAGTTTCTGGGGATGCTACTTTGTCCTGTATTTCCAACTTACCCATTCTCACTGCTGTGCAGAGACAGAAGTCATCTTCCCAAGCTCTGCATAAGGCAAATGTTTATGCATCCAGAGTTTTTAATTCTGGTCAGTTTAAGCAGAAAAGTTAATTTGGAAGTGATGACAAAATACTTTCTGATTTTACTGGGAATAGGATTTGATCTGAAATGTTGCTTTAAATACAGAAAACTTCAGGGAAAGAAGCAAATATGGGACATTCATGTTGGTGGCATTATTTAGAGACCCAAAAAGAGCTTGCAAGTGTTAATTGTGTATGGAAGCCAATACATTGATTTGTATGAATTAGTACCATCCTTCATAAAAACAAAGATACTGAGTGTGTAAAATGACTGCACAGACTTATGACTGCAAAATTACTGTTCAAGACAGGCATCTTTTGAAAACTTAGCTTGGTAAATTTACTTGGTTTAGATACAAAGTGGTTTTCATTAAAACTGTTTATATTGGAAGCTGTTCTGTAGTTCTCTCAGCATTTCTTTGTATAAGAAGCACTTTCTAGTGTCCTACTAACATACAATGCAAAAACATTACATGGTACTTTAAATAGTTTATGATGCACTTTATTTTTCTGTTTATTTCCAGAAGAGATATGTACCCTTGTAATTGCAGAAACTTTTCCTGAAGATTCAGGACTTTTCACATGCACAGCAACAAATGAACATGGTTCAGTAACAAGCAGTGCGCAACTAAGTGTCTAAGAGGAACTTTTAATCATGGATCTTAGATAATTAATTTACCTGTGAAGTTATCAGTCTGCTTCCCTTGTAGAAAAGGGCTGCTGTAAGACAGGATTTTTGTCAACCTCAGAGTATTCATATAAAGGGAACTGAATGTTTTTGTTGGCTCATTTCCTAGTTTAACATTTTTATTCATGTAAAATGGATTATTAAAGTGTCTGCCACAAGCCTGGCAAATTTTTAAGCATTAGGGTTCTGAGACTAGATGGCAGCAGAGGCAAAATGAAAGCAGATTAAATTATGCTGCCAAAGGTGGTGTATGTCATTTGTAAAATAAAAAAACTGTGATATGGTATGTTTAGTTTTGTAATATGTTTACATACATATGGTTGTGGAATGCACCAACCTGGCTGCCATTGCAAACGTGCCACGTATATGTACATCCTTCAGCATTTTTTAATGATTTGTTCTTAAATGATGCTGAGACTCTAGGAAGAGGAAATGTGGTTTCAGCTGTTGTTGTCCGTACTTGACAGTCTCAGTTAGTGGCTGGATTCCTGAAATAGATTTAAAGGGATCCATAAGGTTCCTTATTGTGCCTTTTGCATGAGGCAAAGTCAGAAAATGAATAGCCGGTCATGTATCTAAAATTTTGGGCATAAATTATCAACAGGAGGTCTGGAAAAATATCTTTCAGACAGAACCAAAGAGACCTCACCTTTAACAGATTGAAAATACAGCTATGTACCATGTACTTTGTCTATGACTTGTTAGAGAGACATTTGTTTTGATTTCTTTTAGCCAACTCAGAAAGCTCTAGTCATGAATCACTGACAAGAGAATCCAACAGCGATGATTCCCATCATTTCCCACCACTTCCTCCAGTTGAAATTAGCTCTCTTGAGCTTCCTCCTAAGAAACATACAGAGACCCACCAAGCAACCAACACTGAGTTGAAATCTGGTGTGACAGCCCTTCAACTACAGTTCAATTCATCTGAGGAAAAAACAAATGGCATCCATCCCATTCATGGAGTAAATGGAATGACTAACAGTAAGCCAAATGGTGATAAATCCATCCCACCTCCAGCTGTCTTGCTTTCACCCACAAAGGAGCCACCACCTGTACTTGCTAAACCAAAGCTGTGAGTATTTTTTTTTTGTTTGTTTTTTTTGTTTCCTATAAACTTGATATTTGTTGAGAGCAAATTTTTGCCTGGAGCAGTTTAGTGTTAGACAAATAATGGACAGTGACTGTGCCTGTCCCTTGAAAAATCTTCTTACTGCTGTGATTTATGTCTCAAAAGGGCTGAATACAAGAGAGAACTGTGTTCTTTCTCATAGTGCTACATCAAAGGGAAGTACATCTACCAAGTTCTATAGAAAGATTTAAGATCAGGTCACAAAAAAGAAATGTGGTACTGGCTGTTGCTCTGCGCTTTTTATTCTTAGTCACTGTACCTAAATGTCATTGCGGCTTGAGATTCTTGCATGCTATTTCTGTTTCAAACACTGGTTAGCTATTTTTATTCTGAATGTTCTTGGTTTTGTGTCATCAGTGAATATTCAGGTGTGTAATGTTTGTATTATTTCTTACATTATGTTTATATATAACATGTAGCTCATTCTGCTATCAGCCAGGTTACAATGGCTCTTTTATAACTAAAAATCTGAAAATTTAAAGCTCAAGGAGAAGAGAGAGAAATAGGTAGAAAAAATGTAGTAACATTTTTACCTTATGTTAGTGATGATACCCTACTTATGCAAGAGTGATCTTCTGCTGTTAATTTATAGCTTGATTTTAGCATTGTGCAGACTCCTCATTTCCATCTCTCTCAAGAGTTTTCAGAGACAAGGGAACTAAAATGCTCTTTTATTTCATTTGCATCAATAATCAGAAAGGATTATTAATTATAAAAATGTGTTTAAGAAGCAGCAACAGGGTTCCCTTTCTGCACTCACCACTCTTTTCCTTCTGTTGCTCTTTGGCATTCTGAGTAGTCTCTGACAACTGTAGAAGAGGAGGAGGAGTGGAAGAAGTAGAAAGAGTGGTGGAATAACAGTATATATGGTGGTAATTGCGTGTATGGGAGGGAGGTTACTGAGGATGGCAACTTGCAGATGATACGTGATGTGAAGTGAGCCAGGTGGTCCTCTACCCAGCACATCTGTTGCAAGACCCATTTGTGAATAAAAGAGATAGCGGCTCCAGCAGAGCAGTAAAAAACAAATTTCACCGCAGAGCTTTCTTTCCCAGAAGTGAGGTTGCCTTAGATAAAGGAAAGAAGGTTGTGTAATAGACTTCCCATTGTATATAATATTCACTGCTACTTATGCAAAATTTGTTTTGTTTTTTAAACATAGAGTCAACATATAAACAGAGGTGAACTTTGTATATGATGATGTGAGAGGGTTGCTATTATGAGAATCCTTTCAGTTGCTGATGTCCAAATCGATGACCTTGGAATCCCTAGTGCAATTGCACTTGAGTCCTATATTTTTGCCATTAACAACGCTTGATGCACAAGAGACTGATCTTGATGGCAATCAAGATACATGTTTTGCTTGGCCAAAGCCAATGTAAGTCTATGCTGCTGTCAGAAATGGAAATCTTGCCTGCTCCTCAGCCAAGTATTTTGCTTCCAAGCATAGTGATAGCGTAAGAAAGGGAAAGGGTGCTAACAGGAGGAGGGAAAGGAATGTCTGGCTGCAGAGACTTGAAATGAGCTTTCAGCATTTGGGAAACTGTATCCCGAGTCAAAGATAACAAAATAATTGCATTAAAATTAGCTAAGTAGCATAGTAGCAATCTCAACCATGAGAGTGATCCCTCTTGAAGAGAACTTACCTATGGAGTTGTATCTGTCCGTAGAATATTAGTATTTGATGACAAAAGCAGCAGCATATATTAGCAATGACATAACAACAAACATGTTTATTATAGCCTTTTTTTTGTTAATTATTTAAATGTTTAAAGTAATGTTGGCTATGTAGAAAGCTTGAGGATTCTGAATATCATTAGTGAGTTGAAGACTGACACTGATTTTAAATTTCCTAAATAACCTTTTATTTTCAGGCTTATCTTAACTCATCAATTACTTAACAGGTTTATCCATGAACTCTCTGAAAATAGTTTACTTGGCCAACACCAAAAGTAATTGCTAAGAGTTTGCGAATGAAGGGCTGGTTTTGGTTTGGGTGTATTATTATTATTATTATTATTGTTATT